AAAGGAGAGCAAATAATCTGTCTATAACAGACCAGACACAGGCAGAATAAATAAAGAAACAACTAAAAACCAAAGTTACACACTGCAGCTTTATGAAGGCTTGTAGAAATTTCAACTTACCTGAGAGCGTTTCCATTTGCCCATATCTGGCACCATACTGATTTCTTTCTTTGGCACCATGAAGGCACATTTGGGGGTTTCATCTTCAGAAGTGGATCCTGATCAATGAAAAAGAAAATGATGAAAAGAAGAAGAAAAGCATTATTTTTCAAGACCACCAGGTGTGAAAATGCTGAGCAGACAAAGAAAAAAAAAAATCACAAGGAGGTGTCAATTGCCGCACCATTACAGACAATCGCTCTAAAAACAGCTATCAGAGAAAAAGTCTACTCACTAAATCATAGCAGCTAGTTAGCAGCACAGAGACCCTACTAGCTGAAAATGTCTTTGATGTCTGTCTTTCAAGTTTAACAATAAGAGAAGATAACTTTCAATGCATTTTTGCTATAAGGGTTGTAAACCGCAACTTATTTAAGGTTTTTTCCATGTGCAATTTCCGCAACTTATTTATAGTTTTATTTAAGGTTTTTTCCATGTGCAATTTCAACCAATGTCCTCCACTGTCCAAAATTCAAACACAATTTTAGAGGAATTTAACAGGAGCAGATCATGTGACCATTATAAGTGCATGTTCTAATCTGGTGAGTAGAAACTCCCACCTTTTACTTTTGTTGGTTTAAGGAACATGTCTCCTGGTACTGCCTTTAGCTCCTGGTACTAGTTAATTCAGTCATAACTCAAACAGCTCATCGCATTTTGAACTGTGCATAGTTCCAATATCAGTTCCTTCGCATATAATAAAAAAGCTCCTGCCACCATCCCACAGTCCTTGTACTGGTCACTGTGGATGTAACAGTTGCCTGGAACTAATTCTACTTCTCGTGACTTAGAACTAGTTTTTGTAAATCTTAACACAAATGACACCTAGTATTGTCCTTTTCTTTTGTTAAAAAGATTTTCCTTTTCCTGTATTCTCAGTACCATCACATGGTGCTACTGGTGTTGTACCAAGTTTCTGGTACTTATTACTGCAGTCATAACACAAACAACTCCTGGTACAAGAACTGTGACTAGCTCCTTTACCTTTTCATGTGGTTGTAACACACAAAGCGGTTACAACCACTATGTTCCTAGTTCTAGGAACATAGAACAAGTTATTTCCACAATTAACCTCAGATGCCTGGACTATAGAATTCCTAGTGTTGGGGTCACAACACAAAAAACTACTGACATGTCCCTTTATATGTGGTCTGAGGCTGCCTCTAGTACTAATGCTCCTGGTACTGTCCGTAGTTTCAAATCCTAGAAACTATTGTTTTATTCATTTATGAATTAGTTCATATTCTACTGACTAGAAGTAATAGTAATTGGTTACTTTGTGTACTCGAGTACAAATTTAAGTCAAGTTTCTAACATGTAAAGACATGTGACGGTAACTTTCAGTCACATGTCATAACCTGAATATTGTTATGCAAAACAAAAGCTGTAGATGGCTAACTACATGTAACCGTGTTATACCCAAATACAAACACAATGCGAGCTAGAATAAGAGTTTTTACGGAACGCGAAAATATTTTAAAATGAATATGAGCTGGCTGGCTGACATACAAACACAATAACACAAAACTAGGTATAACTCGACCACACTTCGTGTGCACGACACTAAGGTTTTTTTGTTAAACAGATTAATTTAAAGTTTCTCTATTCCGAACAAAGAAACGGACTCTAAAAAATATTGTTCGAATTCGAGTTGCAGCGTTATTACTGTTTCTGTCATAACTGCAGCAGTTTGTAGTAGAAACGCCTGTATCATTTACCTGACTGCTGCTCCGTTTCCGCCATGCTTCTTCTTCTACCACCTCTACGCGACTTCCGGGCTGATTGATACCAGACGCCGTACTCTACTTCCCTCTTTCGGCGAAGAAAAACGTTTATTGAAATATGTATTTATTCAGATTCAGAAAAAAATATCCCAGCTGAGAATTCAAGTCTAATTGTGCAAAATATTGTCAACTAAATTAACAATTACAGAGACACTAACGAAATATGAAATGCACTCCTATTAATTTGGAACCAAACAAATAAATAAATACAACATGTCCATTTTTATTCAGTTCAGGGGAACCAGGCAAAGGTTAAAGGTGCAGTACTGCTGTAAAAATAAAAAATAAAAATACAACCTAGTAAAGTGTCAAAATGTGTTAAGGGGATTTAATTTGCAAGGACATAGATCAGTGTATATTTACATATAAATTGTCTTGTTTGACTTTTTTGGAAGTTATTTGAGCTGTGAAAAATTAAGGTAGTAGTGGTTTATAAAATTGGGTTTTCATTAGATGTCATTTTTAGGTTTTTGTTTTTTACATTGTTGTGTACAGTTGCACTTTTTTTTGCTTTGTAAAACCAAATCATAATTCCTTTATACCGCCCTAAACTGGAGTCCATGTAAAGCTCAGAGTACAATTTAAAGTAGCTGCAAGTACTAGTAAGACTAGTAAAACTAGTCACCGTTTTGATTAACGTTTCCACTGCTATAATTAGTCTGACCCGGAGCGCTTCGAAGAGGACAGGAAACACAATTAGGGAAGACACCTCAGCGAGAGAACGGGATTCGCCAGTCACCCGGGCACTGAAGTATATCAACCGGAGTCTCAGACAACAGTCGACGTCCGGTCTAGCATTTGATGCTGGCTAGCAGCCGATAGCTGATACTGACAGCGAAGCACGGTCGGCGGCGGATTCTCTGTCTGTGGGCGTTACTTTGTAAACATAATGTGGGGGATTTGCAGCAGAACTGCGGTAAGTAGAACACCGTTATCGAACAGTTGATGCTCGCTGTCTCTGACATCGGACCGAAGCACACTTCTTGTCATCTTCGACAAAACCGGGTTGACGAAATGAGCCACAACACCTTAATGAACAGTTATTGAAGAAGACATACTAGGTGACTCTTTGACGCAAACCGACAGTTTTGTTAGCTCTTGACACAGTTAGCTTGTCGAGCAGCAGGGGCAGTTATTGGTTAGCTCACACAACTGGGTGAAAGGTGAAAGTACGGTTTGGCTACGATACAAGTTGAAGTTTTGTCATGGTTTAATATACTTTTACAACTTAATTACTGATTATGCTTTTAGAGCACAATAGTTATTTTGTTGCCGTCCTTTTGTATTGTTTACCTGCATTACGTTTATGTTTGTCGGATCAGATCTTGTTACATAGCTTACAAAGCTGAAAGGTAAATCTATGCTTTATGAAACAATATATTGATCTGAGTTGATTATTCACACGGTTAAAATGTCTGAAGAGATGCAATGAAAATAAGCAAGCGATTACATAATTTATATTTACTTTTATTACATTTTATGTACTACATTCGATGTACTTTTTAAATATAATTCACAAAAGTCGAAAACAAAAAGTAGTTGTGTAATAACACACTCATTTTCATGCTTTTTTTCCCCGCTGTTCCGGGTTACTTAAGGTGAAGAGGTCGATGAGTAAACACTACCCCCTGCCGTTGGCTTCGGTATAATCACTAGATCAACCAAATGTTGATCTAAAAAAAAATCACTCTTTGCTGAAAAACGTTTTAAACTCCAGTGCCATCAACCTGGAGTAATAAAGTTGAAGCTGTTTATAGTTCCTTTTTACCCTAAAAGCCTAATTAAACTACAGTTAAAATGAATCTGCTATGCATTTTTTACATTATAATTCTTTAATTTAATGTATACATTGTAAACTCATTTTCACGCTAGTCATTAGACCAGGAACTACATTATAATTCTTTAATTTAGTGTATACATTGTAAACTGTAAACTAATTTTCACGCTAGTCATTAGACCAGGAAACGTTGCCTACACTACAAAGGAAAGGAGCGTGTTCTGCTTCTCGTGTACAGAACACAAACAAACAAACTACATTCTTTGTAACAAAGGCTTCACATGTTAAATCTTGTTACCAAAATCAAAGAATGGAACTAACTGTTCTAGAAGGACCAATATTAAAGGGCAGAAATGTTACAGAGAATGAATCAGCTTCTTGGATCAAAGCTATTGTAGTACTTGTTCATTAAAGGAGGAGGTGTTATTCCTTAGTCTTAAACACAAATTCCTTTGTCTCAGGTGAAGTTGGGGATGGCCAAACCCTGCAGCTTGGTGAAAACAAACCACCTGGTGAAGCCTGTATCAGCCACGCGGGTTGCCGGCAGATACCTCACTCACCAGCAGGGCCTGCCATGTCTCCCCGTACCCCCCCTGCAGCAGACGTGTGAGCGTTACATCACAGCGCTGGAGCCCATCGTGGAGGTGGACGAGCTGAAACACACCAAAGAGTTGGTGCAGGAGTTTCAGAAGTCAGGGGGCGTCGGAGAGAAGCTGCAGAAAGGCCTGGAGGAGAGAGCGAAGAGCACTGAGAACTGGGTGAGCTGAAGTTTCACACACTTGATGATGACGATTTTAAGCTCTTCACAATCACGTTAATCACGTGAATCATACCTCTGATCATGTATATTTCATCTATGAAACTGGTATCACTGTACAGTATCTCGTCCTCTGTGTCCGCAGTTGTCAGAATGGTGGGTACAGCTAGCTTATCTGGAGTACCGACTGCCTGTGGTGGTCCACTCCAGTCCAGGGCTGGTCTTACCTCGCATGAACTTCAGGGACAAACAAGGGCAGATAAGGTAAACAACCAGAGGGCAGATTGACTGACCTGAAGATGCTGTAATACCAATAACAACAACTACTGGCTCAGTTAAATCAGAATATTAGGCAGAATGAAAGTGAAAGTTACGTTATTTGTCATTGTGACGCCATAGAGGAACTGCATACTTTAATTGCACCATTAATGTTAGGACATTAGCAATGTTCATTTCTCTGTGTTGGTGACTATACAGCATTGTTGCTCCTGTGTTGTTATACGTATTATATTGCCAGATGCCAAATCGCCACCGTTACCAATAATAACCTTTTTTTTTTATCATTGTTTTTTACAAGCCCTTTGATTTATAAGAGCCTTTTTTTGAAGTGTTCTCTTATTAATGTATTGAAATATAAAACCTTATACATCCTCCTGCTCTCTGTCTTTAGGTTTGCTGCCAAACTGATCGCAGGGGTTTTGGATTTTAAGACCATGATTGACAAGTAAGAGTACAGGCAAGAGTTGTGAAGTAATTTAATGAAGACTAATTGTTGAGATATCCATCCATCTGTTTGCCTGTCTGTCTGAATCGTTGAGATATCCATCCATCCATCCATCTGTTTGCCTGTCTGTCTATTCTATCTATCCATCCAGTAATAAAAAGTAGTATTTCTTCTTTTGTTAATTAAGTCATAAGAGTAATAGAGAAAAATGTTTAAACAAATAGCTGGGGACACACTACACAACTGGGTAAGAATCTGGCAGCAGTCCCTGCAGTGTGTCCTCAGCATGTTCTGTTAGTTGTAATTCTCTCAAATGTCACTGGATAATTGCATCATTGGATGGTCTTTTGCAGTGAGACCCTTCCCGTCGAGTACCTGGGAGGGAAAGCTCTGTGCATGAATCAATATTATGAAGTGCTGTCGTCGTGTCGTGTCCCAGGGCTGAAGAGAGACATGGTGGTGAACCACGCAAAGAGCACACCACCCCCCAAACACATCATAGTCGTACACAACTTCCAGGTGAGTAAAGTGGGCTGCATACATAGGACTCTTCTAGAGAGGCGCCGATATCCAGGGAGTCAGACGCTTCTGATGTTTTTATGTCCTAGATTACGATGTTGGCACTGTAACTGCGTGACATTGTAGGAATGGAACGCTGACCTAAGTAGACGACCCCCTACATTCCTATCCGTTTGTAAAAACTGACAACCCTTGAACCTAGTTTGTCTATGGTGATTTGAACTTAGACGTTGTAACCTTAGCTTTGTGTTTCAAGGTCGAACTTCTGGTACATTTTTTAATCTCTCTTGAATGCGGTTCAATTTCTGAAAGATCTTATTTCTCCTTCATTGGTCTCAGTTCTTAGATCTTTTTTTATTTTTTTTTTATTTCTCCTTCATTGGTCTCAGTTCTTTGCTCTGGACGTGTACAACGCTGACGATAGTCCGCTGACGGTGGAGCAGCTGTGCAGTCAGCTGGAGAGAATCTGCAGCTCCTCGAATCAGAACATGGTGGAGCCTGTCGGCATCCTGACCACCCAGCACCGTGACGCCTGGGGACAGGCCTATGTCAACCTCATCAAAGGTGAGCGGACGGCGCTGCCGTTTTAACACAAACCAAACGTGCGATTACAGAAGTACAACTGTCCACGCAGTGTCTGGTAACGTGCGATCACAGAAGTACAACTGTCCACGCAGTGTCTACAGCGGCACGTTCTCCCTTTTGTAAGCAGATGCCACCAACAAAGCCTCCGTGTCTACCATCCAGAGAAGCATCTTTACCCTGTGTATGGACGGAGTGATGCCGCAGGAGTCCGAGCAGACATACCGCAGTTCTGCTGCCATCCAGATGCTGCATGGAGGAGGAAGCCGGTGGAACAGCGCCAACCGCTGGTTTGACAAGACCCTGCAGGTAACCATTTTAACGCAGCGACAACGAACCTCACAGTATCTCTGTTCCATGACTCTGGAATTCACACCTGTGCCCAAGAACGTCAGGTCACTGTCAGTCTGAAGGTCATAATTACAATGTCTCCGTTCATTGATCTTTTATAGTTTTTTTTTTAATGCACTTGTTTTTACTGTACTGTTATACAGTATATATTTGTTATTTGTTTTTACTCTACTGTTATACAGTATATATTTGTTATTATATTTAGCCATATATAAAGGAAATGCACCTGCAAAGTCACAGAATCAGCCAATAAGGCTGTGGTTGGTCGAAGTATTATTTCTTTTTCTCAGCAAAGGTGCAGGGAGAGAGGGTTGTTGACAAAATGTTCAATATCAATATCATAATAATAATAATCAATAATCATTAGGAGACTGTGTCTGTTGAAGCCATGACCAGTGTAAGTCCGGTTGTTTATTTTAGATATTCCTGCCTCAAGGTGAATGTGCTTTTGGTTTTCCTTGTCTCCCTCAGTTTATCGTCGGGGAGGACGGGACATGTGGTGCAAACTACGAGCACGCTCCAGCCGAAGGCCCGCCCATCGTGGCCTTAATCGACCATGTCGTAGAATACACGTAAGTAGGTCGGAGGTCGCCTTATTAGATCATCAGCCCCTTTATTTTGACTGCAGAGGACAAGAAGAGATACACTATGCAGTAAACACAGAGGCCGTGTGTTGACTAGTTTCTTGGGCAACAGGAGGAAGGAGAAGGACGAAGAAGTGCTGCAGCCTCCTGAGGAGCCGCTGCCCGGACCTCAGAAACTACACTTCAACATCACACCAGAGGTCAAGAAGAGCATCGAAGAAGCCAAGCAGAGCATGAACACGTGAGATATGCCCACACGGTGGCAGCAAAGTTCTCTGCAAATCTCCACATCTGTACCATCCCTGTTTTGCAGCTTTGGTTGTCTGAGAAACCGATAAGGAAAACACAGACGCTCAGCTGTGATCTTCAGCAGTCTGTGGCTGCTCCTTGAGTTTACAATTTAAAGAAAAAGTTCTGTGTAGTGTTTCTTTTACATCTAAGTTTAAAAGATTTACTCAATTCTTTTTTTTATACATTCTTAATTGAGCTATAATCCTATTCAACCTATATTTTATTGAAAATTATTTTATATATTTTTTTTACTTTCTATACTGATCACTTTTTTTTTTGTTCTTTTTTTTTTATTAATTGACTAATGCATTAATCAATTCCAAACACTGCTGACTGCTGGTCTGGGTATTGAGGAACATTTCATTTTGTTGACACAAGATGTCACTGTGTTCACTTTCTTCAACTATAGCCTAGCTCAGGACCTGGACATGAAGGTCATAGTGTTTGAACACTTTGGGAAAAATGTCCCCAAGGTGCACAAGATGAGTCCGGACGCCTTCATCCAGATGGCGCTGCAGCTGGCCTACTACAGGTTAGATGTCAATGAATCTCTGTAGGACTGGATTCAGACTCAGGTCTGTGTGTGTTTGTGTTACGGTCTCCTGACCTTATCTCTGCAGGTTGTACCAGCGCTGCTGTGCCACGTACGAAAGCGCCTCCCTAAGGATGTTTAGACTCGGTCGTACAGACACCATACGATCAGCATCCAACGCTTCGGCTGCCTTCATCAGAGCCTTTGATGACAGCAGCAGACAGGTCAGACATTGACCCATTAACACTTATGTGGAATCTAGAAACATTTTCAGTAGTGGCAACTAGTGGACAGATGGTGCAACTGCAGTGTTCTCGACATTGCACATTATTAAACAGGCACAAAATTACACGTGCTACCGTGTAGATTCCAAATGCAGCAATAACACGGAAAACAGAAACACTGACCCCATGTGGTCAACCTTGGAATTTAATGTGTGTAATGTTTCTTGGCAGAAAATGAATACTCAATGTTTAAAAGGTTTAATGGAAGTTGAAAATAAACTCTACTTCCACCACAGTAAACAATTAACATATTTTTAAATAAATGTTAACAAACTATGAGGTGATACACAAATGTGTTTGTTCCTGTGTTCCACAGAACACTGAGAAGCTGGAGCTGATGGAGAAGGCTGTTCATGCTCACAGGTCCTACACCAACATGGTAAGTGTTCACTGCAGCACAGAGGGACTGCCGGCTGCTGATGTTTCTCAACATCGCACGGAAATAAATCCACTCATCTCCTTCTGGTTCTCCTCAGGCCATTAATGGTCAGGCCATAGACCGACACCTCCTGGGTCTGAGGATGCAGGCCGTGGAGGAAAAACTGACTGTGCCTGAAATCTTCAAAGACGCAGCCTATGCTAAGGCTCTGCACTACCAGCTGTCAACTAGTCAGGTTCGAGTAAAGCTATAAAGCTGCAGCACAGATTCAACCTTGTGTTTAGACAAAGATGGAGTGTTGGAGCAGTCCCAGAGTGGACAGGTTTGAAAACTGAGTAACCCATTAACCTCGCACCACACAATAATAACAATGCTGGAAACCATGCTACTTGACCATGCTGGAGAAGCTAGTTAGGCTACAGTTAGCCATCTCTACCTTTTTTGAGTATCTTTACAGTTAGCTTTACACGCATGCGCTGTGGCTTCTTTTCCGGTTTTTCGAACTTCTGGTTCAAATCCTTCCAGTGTACCACATACAGGCCTGGTATATGTACTACAGGTACTGCAGTCGTATTCAGCAGCTCCATTTAAACGCTGAATTTGTTTGTGCCGGACCTGAGTTAACGCTCCGTGTACGAGGGCTGCTGTAGTCGTATCATATTGTTGTAAACGGGGCCTTTATCTCCCAGCATCCAACTGCTTCCTTTTGGTGGTTCCTGAGAACTTCCCAGAACCACCAGTAAGACCAGCATTAAAATACAGCAGCTTACGCCAGTTTAGAAGAGGGGAATTTGTTCCTAATAATGCAAAGTTGTTGTAAGAAACGTGTGAAGGTATTGATGGGAATTAGATACCTCTCAAGGCATTTTAAATACCAAAAATGGTACATGCACCATAGTTTGAGAACCACTGTTGAAGATACCAGATATACTCAGGAGTCTGTTCCACATTAGGATGACATTTTATCTATTTGTTTTCACTAACATTAACCTCAGTGTCTTGTGTTTTTCCACCAGGTTCCATCTAAGACGGACTGCGTCATGTGCTTCGGTCCGGTTGTCCAAAACGGCTACGGCGTGTGCTACAACCCCATGAATGACCACATCAATTTCGCCCTGTCGTCTTTCAACACGTGCAAAGAGACGAACTCTGCGCATCTGGCTCAGGCCGTGGAGAGCGCTCTGCTGGACATGAGGGCTCTGCTGGAACAGACGCCACGGGCCAAACTGTGAAGCTCCTCCCTGAAGTCATGTGACCTGACAGCATCCTTCGACCGGCCAGGTCGAGCCTGTGCCACGCCGGCTTTGTGTCGTTGAGGATTGTGCACTTTAAATCAAGCTGCAGCGTCGTCAGTACAATCTCTGGTTTTACTTCGTACAAACTCGGTTCAAACAGAAATGAGTCGGTTATTTAACACTAATCATGCGACTGGCTGTTAGATAGTTTTTTCTAACGTGAAAAAAAGATTCTGAATCTTAAACAATTTTACTGCTAAAGTACTAATATGGAATACTGCATTTATGCAGTAAATGTTGCCAGTGAGGTGATTAAAAATTAGCATTTGGAGGCAAAAACGAGCCCCAAAACTAAAGCTGCACATGGTCTTGTGAAGTATTTTTGTTCTGTGGGCCAGTCTTTGTCACACTGTCCACAAACGAGCCTTGTCCTGGTGTGCACGTGTCCAGACATGTGATGGTACTCATCAACTACTCATGTGAAAGAGATTCAAACACCAAGTTGTATTCTGTTTTTAGCATTCAAAAACACAGCTGGGAAAACCCCTGGGTATTCTTTGGAAAGACCATACCACCCACCTCCTTGTAATCTGTCAATGAAAACAAACTGTGTACAAACCACTGAATGGAACTCTAAAAAAGATCTCTAAAAATGAAAGATGAGGGAAAAATCGACCAGGAGTTGGAGAGAACCACCATCTTTGTGTAATGTAACCAAACCTCAAAACCTCAAAAAGGGTTCAAGATTGGGAAGCAGCCGTGTTGGTTTTTCTGGAGACCGCTATAAACTTCACCTCCTGCAGGTGTCGCTACATTGCGTTTGATTGACCACTAGAACCGACCGTTGGGATGTATTCTGAGTAATTTTGGCAAATTACATAAAGAATAACAATGGTGGAAACGTTGACTATTTTAGAATATGTTCTGCTCCTGCTGGGCTGAAGTGGTATTGCATGTGATGAAGGCATTTCTGTGCTGCTCCTTCAATTTAGACAAATGGGTTTTATGTACAATCAGTTCTTGCAAAAGAGCAGTCATTATGCCAGTACAGACAGTATGTAGCTGTATGATTCATGGGAAAAACGTGGCGCTAACCAGGGAGCGATAGTACTGGTTGAACAAATTACTTGAAGCTTTTGGAGCAGAAGCTAAAGCTCCAACTTTAGCTCTCTCTCTCTCTCTCTCATTCTCTCGCCCTCTTTCAGCAGTGTCAGTTTACTTACGGGCAATAACAACGCTCCCTTCAACAGAAATGGCTAATTGATGAAGTACAAGTAGAGTACTAACCCTGGACCTTGGACACGGGGTTTCACTTTGTCAAAAGGTTTAATTAATTACCAATGTGCTAAAGAGGAAAATTCTGGAAGATGCGGAGAGTTTTAACAACGAACCTTATTTTTATAATTTCAACGAAAGCGACTGTTCAGTTTTTATTTTCAGCATGTACAGGAAAACGGTTCAGAATATCTTGTAAGGCTTCATAGAAGGTGCCATTCTATTCTTAAGGTCAGATCAGTGTGACATGTGTGTGTCTCAAAGTGCAGTTTGAAAATGTTTTATGTCTTTTTCCTTCACCTCTGCTGTGCCTTTCTTCTTCTGTCCATCAGGGGTCACCAGTGTGAAAATCAGATAAAGTATGTATATGTCCTTGTTTGTAAAAACTTTTAACCCACGAAGTAAGTCGTTAGAGTTGGTTTAATTGAAGATTGATTCTATAAATGCACAATTTACAGTCCTGCAACTTTTGCTTCGTTTTTAGTCATTCACTGGGTTCACACTCACATTCACACCTGTGCTGAATTTTGCTAATGGACCTTGGATTTTTGTAGTCAGCACCCGCTGGTCAGTAGTGGAACTGCATGTGACTTGGTTTTTCTGTGTAGCGTCATTAGGACTGAGGTGTTTCTTTTTAATGTACACTCTGTGGTTGAAGAAATACTGCTATCCTAGAACAGACAATATATGAAATGGAAGCTCTGTGACATGTGACAAAAATGTAAATGTAATATTGGCAACGTGAGGAGGTGATGCGAAAATGAATTTACAGTAATACCTTGAGATACAAGCATAGTCCATTCCAGGACTGAACTTAAGAGTTAAGAGATAAAGTAGTGGCTAATGGAGGAAGAGGGAGGGAAGAGATCCATATCATGGACTGTAGAAGAATCTGTGATAGAAGAGTGTCAGCTAAGGTGAAGGGAAAGGTTTACAGGACGGTGGTGAGACCAGCCTTGATGTATGGTTTAGAGACAGTAGCAATAGGCAGAAGACAGGAGGCGGAGCTGGAGGTGGCAGAGTTAAAGATGATGGACAGGATCAGGAATGAGGTCATTAGAGGGACAACACAGACAGGAAGGTTTGGAGAAAAAGTCAGAGAAGCCAGATTGAGATGGTTTGGACATGTGCAGAGGAGGGACAGTGGATACATTGGTAGAAGAATGTTAGAGATGGAGCTACCAGGTAGGAGACAAAGAGGAAGGACAAAGAGGAGATATATGGATGCAGTGAGGGAGGACATGCAGATAGTTGGAGTCAGATGTGGTGAACCTCGCCCCATCCTTGCTTGTGAATGACTGAGCATTTCAGGGAATTTTTTCGAAATGTATTCTTCCTTTAGCGGGCAGCACGCTCATATACGTTTCTTCTTCTCACTACCATCCTTACCACTGACTTTCTTAGGAACTGAGAAGATGATTTCACTAGGGATGACCATTCAAGACGATTCTAAACTCGGGCCTTGTAAACAGTTAACACCTTTGCAGTCAGATGGCTTCCTCAATTTTCGACACTGAACCTTTATGTTGTAAACCCTCCACTCTGTGGACCAATATGAATATTAAGTCTTTATATTTTTTTTTTAACAGTTCAAAATGCCTATCTTTTTAGTACACACTCCAACAGTCCCAGCACACAGAGAGACCTTATTCAGACCTAACAAATGCCACAAAGTGAAAGAAAAAGAAAACACATTTTTGGCCTCGACTTCTGAGGTTGCTTTAAAAAGTTCAGACTTGGAGCTGACTCATGTTTACCAGAAGTACAGCTGCTGCACTTCCTGCCCCTGAATCCACATGGATTTCACAACCCGGGGAGCGAATCAACGTTCAGCGTTACAATCACTGACTTCTGAGGAATTGCTTGAGAAAGTAACCTGACACTGCAGAGAGAGAGAGAGAGAGAGAGAGAGAGAGTAAAACTGAAGCTGCAACCACTGCTCCATCATGTTAATCATCAGGCACCAGACAGGGTCACACAACAGTTGTCTGTGTTTCACTGGATTATTTCTTTCTCTTTTGTTCCCACAGCACCTGAGCCACAAGAGCCACGGAGCGGCAGCCGGACCATCATGATCTCATGGGTTTTGCTGGTCTCGTTGATCTGTGTCAGTGGACAGGTTTCCAGCGGCCCCGGAGACGGTGAGTGTTGCATTTGCTGACCTCCTGTCACCTTAGCCTGTGGTGTACACATCCGCCATTAGAGAAACTGTGGTCTGACGTTGAACTCCTTAATGCACGCCGTCAAGACCATGAAAGAGAGATTTTGACTCTGATTGGCTGTTCATTGTGGTTTGTGAAAACATGCTCAGACACCAACCTGTAAGATATAAATGTCAGCTCAGGTCAAAATGATTTCGAAGCATTGTTGTCAAACAGACCTATGGTAAACTGGAGATGCGATGATACACTCGACTCACGCCATGATATGATTCACAGTTCTTTTGAAACAAAATGACTTGTGAGTTATTCTTTAATGGTTTAATCATATTCTGAAAATGGTCTTATGTGAACCTCGGAAATTGAAATTGTTACCTTTCACAGCAGAACCTGGACTTATTTGTTCTGCTAACTGTCAATATATTAACCAAAAAATATTACAGTGTTTGTGTCTGTGAAAAACGTTCTGGTTGAACACCCGAATGTCACTTAGGTTATGTAGGGACCTGACTGGGTTTAATACTAGGTCACAACCATCATTTGTTTTGGTACACACTGCCACCTGCTGTACTAGAGTGTATGGTGTCATGGTATGACCAGTGACTTCTTGAGATAACGGAGCCTAATCCTTATGCCTCTGTGTGCGATTCTTTTTATTATTATTATTATTGTTTCAAACTAAAGCAAATCGCACGCATTTGTTATCATCGACATCATGATCTTACCCGAACTCATATGCACTTTAGCTGCATTGCTGCCATCTACTGGGCTGGAATGTGTGCAACAGTGCAAGCTGTTTGGAGTTTGGAGTGAACTGAACGAAACTTCAATAAAATATTAATTCCATTTGAACGTGCTGACATGTCTCAATGACTCCTCAGAATTATTTTGGGAGTCATGCAGAGTACGAGGAGTGTGTGGGAGTGAAGTATGCAAACAGGAGATCAGCAGTTCCTCTGCAGAGATATAAAATGACAGATTTTTCTCTGGATCTTGGTTTGTGATTGTCAGTGATCTATGAACCAAAACCAAGGTGTGTTTTACACGGGGAAAGACCAACTAAAAGTCGTCCCCGTTTTCATGCTAGCTGATGTAATTTGGTAGCATTACCGCCATCTACTGGCCTCTTGTCCAATTCTTTTTTTATGGCCGCTCTTTCTTTCTCAGCTGTCTTGCCATGTGGACCCCAGAATCTGGTTCTGACCAGCTTTGGCCAGGTGATGATGTCATCCTGGGAGGACACCAATGTTTGCTTTGCTGTAACGGAGACGATCATCTACGAGCTGAAGGTTTTCATCGCTAACAGACTGGTTCACCAAGTAAGTGACAGCATCAACATCTGCACTTCTGTAACAACCAGAACCAAACCAACGTTTTTGCATTGAACTCTTCCAGGACGAGTTGATCGTGGCTCGTGACCAGATTGGATCCACTCACTACTGGAACTGGACGTCACCCTGGATCTTTGACTGCGTCTCCCATTCACTCAGACTCAGCTCCAGATACAAGAACCACAAAGGTTCACAGCATTTGGAGCAAACTCTCCCAGGTAGGAAGTTTGATTCATTATTCCAATTCTCCCATGATGCCCCTGTTACTCCAAGCCCGGCGTTTCTTTTTCTAAAACACTGTCTATGAATGTTGTTCCTTCTCTTACAGGGAAAGAAAGCTCCAGGAGGCCGCAGGTTTATCCAAGAGATCGAGTGTTTCAGGCCAACAGCATCGGCAACTTCTGCTGCGTTTTACCTCCGGGTCACACTTTTGACAGCTTATCTGTGGGCGGCTACACAGGCACAAACAATGACACCGTCAGCATAGATAACCGGACGTTTTTTTCAAGCATTCGTCTGACCCGTCCTACAGTAGTCGGCGTCAACATTATCTGTCGGGCCACGAACCAGCAGGGCGCCGTGGTACAAAACGGAGCCAGTGCTTTTATTGGATGTAAGTTTGTTCACGCTGGTGACAGGGCCACAGGGCTTTGGGTTCAATTTCTTTAACATGAACGGTGCAGTCAGTACTCCCTCTCCCCAGGAGTAATACCCCCGGAATACTCCGGGGACTTGATGGCCGAGGCATCGTAAAGCCTTATGGTTAGTAGTTAGATCGATGTACGTAAACGGAACATAAACTGGACTTAACGTGGTCATGGTGCCCTGTCCAAATGTCCGTATGTCCATACCAACACAAACTAACTTTGGTGTTTTTGTTGTTGTTTATTTTTGTCTTAATGCTTAGATCCACCTGGGGACAAGGATCTTCAGTGCGAAACCAGAGATCTGCAATCGGTCGAGTGTCACTGGAACGCAGGAAGAGACACACACCTAAGACAAAAGACAAAGTATAAGCTCCTTGGAAGGTATGCTGACCCAGCCTGTGGTCAGGTGGCTTGGCTACAGGTTCTTGGAACAAAAAGCGAACTGTCTGACTGTAACCGTTCATCTCACAGTGAGTGCAAAGCCACAGCAGCGTCCCAGAGCAGAAAGTGTTCACAAAAAGATGACATAAGTGTCGGGGAGAAAAACTGGACGTTAACGGCTCAGAACGACCTGGGGACGGTGGACTTGTTTGACCAAGTGGACCTGAGACAGAGAGGTAGAAATGTCTTCACTGATACAGTTTCCATCAAAGTCAAGGCCATGCAGTACAGCGCCCTCTTTGGTTTGTTTTTGATGGTGAAAAGTAAGAATTCTTTTTCTGTGTTTTTAGTGCACCTGTTTGCACCAGAGGAAGTGAGATTGTTAACCATAAATTCCAGGAACGTTAGCTTGACATGGAGCTGGCCGGTGGAACACTACAATGACCTTAACATAACGTGTCAAGTCAACATCAGCGACGGTGGAACGAGTTTCCTGGTGAGAGTCTCGACAGAGGAGGAGAAGAAGTCTGTGCATTTCTTTGTCTGATGTTCTCTTGTCCGTGTGCTGGTTTTAGATGGAAACTTCTGACATCGGTGTAAATTCTGCGGCCGTGACAGAGCTGGTACCGAACTGGACGTACAATGTCATGGTGCGATGTGGAACAACGGAACATTTCTGGAAGTGGAGTCCCTGGAGTTCAGCGATTACATTTCACACCGAGACAGATGGTAGGTTACTACAAAAATGCTTGTTATTAGTGATTAATCAATTCTACCACTGGATGGCAGTACAGAAAAGAGTTTTTTGAGCAAATATGGCAACGGTTTAGTTCAGTGGTTTTCACTTTTGTTACACTGTACCAGCTCAGAAATGCAATGGTTTACGCACAATTAACACAGTAAGAATTGTCTGTTTAGTTGAACACAATGCTGATTTACCTGCAGGAGTTGAAGAAAGACACACACAAAGATCTTCTTCAGCAGTTCTGACTCACTCTATGTTTTTATAGCATCTGCTGCCTCCTAGTGGAAAAGTGTTTTAATTTTTCTGCTTGTTTCTGTTGCATAGACAAAGAAAGCAATCACGTGCAGTAAACAACTGAACACTCATTGGTTGGAAATCAGTGCATTTTGTTTAATTTCTGACACTTTATAACCTGATTTATCACATTAAAAAAAGAGAGAATTATCTCTCTGATAACTAATTGGTACTTTTTCTTCTTTTTTTTTTTTAATCCGTGCCTCTCTGATTTTGTAGTTCCAGATGCTTTGGATGTTTGGATGCAGATGAGAGAAAACAAAGTTATTGTTCACTGGAAAGTAAGTTATTCGAACCAAAAACTTTAAATACACGTCCCGTACATTTTTCCTCAATGTGTTGATACCATTTTTTTAAATATTGCATTTGAATGTTCAAAAGTGTAAGTTGACCTGTTCGTCTATAAGTATTTCAAGTCAATTAACAAGAACCATTAGAGACAACGTTGACCCAGTTGTCATGTGTCAACCATGGCCCGCAGAAACCCCTGGACCACCAGAGTCACGGACTCATCTTGAATTACACAGTGACTTGGAGAGCGATGACTGAGGCGGCTGAAGAAAATGTGATCACGGTGCCTGACACTGAAGACAGAGTGGTTCTCAGTGTGGACACCGCCCACCAGTATCTCATCACTGCTAAAGCAAGGAATGCAAACGGCAGCTCATCACCCTCCATCATCACCACCCCCGCTGTTCACACAGGTACGAACCGGATTACGCTTCTGGGAGGACGTTTGTCCAAATAAGTACTAGCACGTTAGAAAAAAAAAAATCATATTTAATGAAATACAATTTGTCAAAACATCACGAACATGAAGTGTTTGTGCTTTTTTTCACTTTTAAAATTCATCAAGCGGGCCAGATTGAACCCCCTAGTTGACCAGTTTTGGCCCGCGGGTCGTATGTTTGACACCCATGCCTTATATGATACTATCTTCACTTCTTTGAGTTTTTGATTTTTATTATTATTCCATCTTCCATCTTTGTGTCTGGTTCAAATCCTAAAGCTTTATGAATGTACTGCCTTGAAAATGTTTTTTTTTTTTTTTTTGTCTCCACCTGAAAAAAGTAGCAACATTTGGGCGGATCACCTACAGTTCTTTTACACCTGCTCTGAAAAACAACCTAAATCTAACAGATCAAATCATCCTTCAAATATTCATTCCAGATCAGACCAGGCTCAAAACATCCCGCATCACTGGCGTCAACGGCGGCTTTCACCTCTCCTGGTCCGTCAGTCCTGTGGCCAGCTGTGGCTACATCCTGGACTGGTGTCCAACCTTGGGTGATGGACCTTTCGAGTGGCTCAAAGTTACTCCACAAGAAACGGAGGCTCGAATCATTTCGGGTATGTTTTCCTTTTGCTTTAACTCCATAAATAGTGACCTCAGAGTGTATTCTGATGTTTCTGCTCCTCAGGATACCTCCGCGACGGACTGAGATACTCTTTGTCCATATCTGCCTGCACACCTGCAGCGCCGGTACTGCTGGAGAGACGGGAGGGTTACGTTCGTGAGGAAAGTAAGAGAAACGGTCCAAGTCACTGTGATGTCCTATAAATCCCCCTCTTTGCGAATGGACTTTGAGATATGTGCGTGATTTTGCACTTTGGCAGAACTTCCTGACAACCTTTTTGCACACCATAAATGGAAACAGCAGGATATGAGCGTCGTTGTTTCCTGGGATCCGGTTCGTCTGACAGAGCAGAGCGCTTTCATCAACGGCTACGTTCTCTATTGGTCCAACCAAGACAGCAACGTGGTCTACAACGTGAGCACAGGTATGGTAGCGTCAGGGGCTATTCCATGATAATTAGCCATATATGACGAAACAGACCAGTGTGATGTCTTTAAAGCAGTACTTCTCAAATAGCGGGGCGGGTCCCCATTGGGGTGCGCGGTGAGGAGCCGGGGGGGTGGAGGTGGACCACTGCTGTAATGCTTGAATGATAACAAGCCTCCAGTCACTAGGTGGCAGCACCTCATACAGTGGTTTGTACAATCCCTTGAAATAGTCTAACCTGATGAAGACGGAGCATTGACAACAACGGTTACTAATCAGCTGCTCCTCGTCTTGGGTTTAGATCATCCTGAAGCCACGAGCCTGACTGCGAGCGACCTGAAAATCGGCTCTTACCAGTTTACAGTAAAGGCTCAGACGGCGGTGGGAGAGTCCGGTTCCACGTCCTTCACTGTGTCCTTAAACTCACCAAGTACGTCTGTCTTAGTACTGTTTACAGCTTAGCTCTTCCACCTGCCGTCTTCTCACCGAAGCCTCTGTTCTAACAGCTGACGCCTTGGTCAAGATGACCACCATCTGCTTGGTCTCCATCTTCATCGCTCTTCTTCTAATCACCCTGATCTGCTGCAGACACGGTGCCCGGTACGTACCGTTCAGTTGACAGTTCTCCTACTTCATGGACTGACTCAGACTTACCGTCAGGCGTTTGATCTTCAACAGAATCAAGAACAAGGTCTGTCCTCCAATCCCAAAGCCAGTGGTTACGGACAAGTGGCTGACGTCCCAGGTGGGTTCTTGGTTTTGAACAAAAATACTGACACTTTGTTGAATCTTGATTTACCTAAAAATCATCCAGTGTCAACGTTAGAAGTACAAATGAATGAAATGGACAAATTTGTCCTCCGCGTATAACTACTTCATACACTTCATTGCCCCCCCATATGTATTTACTGTATGTATATGTATATTATATATATTTATATATATGTATATTATATATATGTGTATGTGTGTGTATATATGTAAATATATATTCTATATTTATTTTCTGTGTCCCAAATTTTCTTTTGATTGACAGATATTCGTGCTAACTATTCAAGCTAACTGTCCCTAACAGGTGCATGTAGCCAGTTCAGACCCACATTTAGCCTGTAGCTGTACATACCCCTGTGTATTCACCTGTATTTCTGTGCACCTCTGTCCTCGTCCTGTCTGTTCCCCAGGATGAGAAGTTGTCACATCCTCATATTCTGGACCACGGTGAAGTGGACAAGGTGGACGTTCCTCAGCTGCTCTGTAAATCAGCAGTGTGTCCCGAGGCTCATGTCAGTGACGAATACCAACCCTTTATATTTGCACCGGCTCCTAAAGGTCACCTCAACCAAGTGCTGAAAACCCATAGTCCACCCAGCAGTGCAGTACCAGCGGTGTCCACTTCACCGCCCTCATCCTTTAGAGCTGTATTCCAAAACCCATCATATAATCTGCCTATAATAACAGATTATACTGCTGCTTGTTCAGACTCATCGCCCCAGCCTCTGAGGGAGACGTGTTTAGAGAGTGACACTAATGGATACCTGCCTCAGAAGGAGGCCCTCGCTGTGGCTCCCATCGACGGGACTAGAAACGAACCCATGACCTGCGTCCTTTCCTATGTTCTAATTCCACCAGCCCAGGTGGTTCATGGTGGAAGCAGTCCAGAAAGTTACTCTAACATTGTGTGCTGATTCCATTCTTGCGGCCTCACTGTGGGACCCAAACCAGTGTTTGGGTAAAGCCCAAACTGGCCTAGAACATATTGGATGCAGTGCAAAGTTTAATTAGTACTAGTTTTAGTATAGGATTAGTGAGGAACCTAAAGGCACCTCCACTTCTTCTGATAGCTTTGGATAAAAGTGCTAAAATGTGTGAATATAGTGTAAAAGACCCTCCTCCCCCTCGCCCTCCGGATGGATGACTTATACCAGAGCTGTCAACTGAGAGACTTTAACCTAACTTTCACTACAGTTCCTGTAAAAAGTGAAATTGTGACCTAACAATGCACTTGCACAAGGTCAGTGGTTGTGAAATGTGACGGACAGGAAGCCCAGCTGCTTTTTTTCTGCTCGTTCTGAGTCACTGCGGTTTGACCAGAAGAAATGAAATATAGTACGTCTTTGGTTAAAAAAAAAAAAAAAACTTAGAAAGTACAGTAAAGGCCGCAGAAAACACAGTGACAGGGTGTGGGATTGACAGCTGGACTGTCAATCAGGGAATGAGAACTACTTTGTTTTTACTGAAAAACATAAAGCTAGTGGTTTAAGAAATTAACTTCTTTTCAAATTAGCTTTTTTTTTTACATTTCATTTTCATTTCTGATTGGGTCCACAGTGTTTTGTTTTTACTTTCACATTGCTATCTTATTTTATTACAAAAATATAACAATTTTTTTTCCCGATATTTGGATAAAAATAATATACAGTATTTAAGTTTAAGTTTTAACAATTCCTGAACCTGATAGTTCATTGTACTACCTCAGTTTACCACTAGAGGGAGCCTGCACATAATTTGTATGGCAGTTTGGAGCCCGCGTTTCAGCATGAGCAGTTTCGACTAACCAAACGAGATTTAAATCAAATTTGTTCCGCTGACTCATTTTGAAAATGGGAAATTAACGCACAAAAAAAAACTTTACACATTTTAACAACCAAGACAATTATTGAAACTGTGTTTTATGTTGTCTTTTTTTACTAAAAGGATTTTCTCTTTGGCCCTTCCTCCTAAAACCTGAAAGAGAAAAACACTCTGAGGTTTGATGGTGATGTCGGAGAACAGATAATAGTCGTGGTTTTTGTGTTCGTTGCGACGTTTGTGTTTATACCTCGGACACACACTCTGAAGAGCTGCGATGATGTCACGGCAGACGCTAACTCTCAAACATCCACATCTTTTTTTCCATTACATCCAGTAAACCCTTTCTGACCCTGCAGGGAAGTTAGTTTCACTGAGGAGTTTCCAGAATGAGGAACTGGGAGTTATTTTACAAGCTGACGCACACACACACACACACACACACTCTGTACTTAACACACACTAATCTTGATCCTCACTCTAATGTAACCATATATCTAATCCTAATTCAAATCTAAATCTTGAAAATACACTTCCAAGTGTCCAGATTGTCTCTGCAACAATAGTACTTTAAAAAAAAAAAAAATTCCCCACAAGTAGGAGGAACACACATACTCACCGTGTGCCACACTGTTTTCAGGAGTGTGTCACACACACTTTCTGACCACCTGCATGACTACACTGGTTCCCCTCTGATCCCAGGATGCATCAGTGGTGAACAATAACCTGGCTGACTGATGACCAGTAGTTTAACGTGGTGAAGACCAGAGGTTTTCAAGCGATCCAAACCGAGGCCACGTCCTGGTCTCCGACCGTGGTGTTCCAATTAAAACGACCACTTGGAAGTGTGTTCCTAGACTAAACAAAAATAAACAAGATACAACCTTGAAACTCATCTAAGTTTTTTTTTTTTTTTTTTTCCGTTGAACACTGTGTGATCCAGTGAAGGATGACTCAATGCATGCTTGTGTGTGTGTGTGTGTGTGTGTGTGTGTGTGTGTGTATCACCACCTACAGTCAGAACTATAATTACTTTGGCCCTGCTAAACCAAAACATGCTTATCTGTCTTCAAACACACAAACACTGTGGCTGGTTGGTTTTTTTATGTTGTTGTTGTTGTTGTTTTTTTTCCCTCCCCGTTTCGGACGATCACAAATAAAAACAAACAGAAACAGACTGACATTAGGATCTGATCAAGCCTCAGCTGATTGGTCCAGATGTTTGTCATGAACTATACGACCAGACTGTGTCAAGTAAGTGCATACATCGGCAAGTAGGGTTGTACGAAAATGTCGATACACTGAAATACTGCGATATTTTGTTTCACTACGCTATGTCGACACACTATACACTTTCATTATACTGTATCGATATTTTATGGAACTGTATCTATTCAGAGTTAACATGCAAATATTCAAGGCATTGGTTCATTTTTGCAGCAAACTAAGGCCCGGGGGCCGGATGTGGCCCGTTCACCTTTTTTATATGGCCTGCCAAACTTTTCCAAATTTTATAATTTATTTATATTATCTTTATACTTCTGCCTCTTCCCCGTAATACCCACGTTTCCCCAATAGATGGCGTAGAAAATGATAAAAGCATTCTAGCATTTGATCCTTTATTCATGACTTTTACATGTCATTGACCATCTATCTGCTCCTGACTCGGCCCCCTAACCACTAGTTGATTGTATAGGACTGCATATATTTACGTAAGTATTTGAGACTTGACGAGTCAACAATCTTATATGTTTCATTTGTTCATCAAAAAAAAATCCTAAATCCAAAACAGTTTTCCTACCATTAAAAAATCCAAAATATATTGTCGTGCCTATAGTATCGCAATACATCGCAATTTATCGTATCATTGCCCCTGTATCGTGATGTGTATCGTATTCCCAGATTCTTCACATTTATCTCATAGTAATAACAAATATTAGGAGGTTCCTAATCTACAGTACTCCTTCAGTTGTACTACTGCCTCCTGTTGGATGTTTTCAGCACTGCTAAGCATTTACACCCAGAAGCCTTGCCCCTTTGGCAAATCCAAGTGGGGGGGAAAAAAAGAGAGAAAACTACAAGCAGAGGGCAGCATTGCTGCAGTTGTCCTGCTGCGTCCTGATTGGTCTGTGGTTGATTGGCTGTTCCTCAACCCTGAGGTTTAAAAAGTGAAACCTCTGGGCTCTGTTCTCCCTCCACACGTGTTCCCGACTGTTTTCATTCGCTGCCTGTGACCGTGAGCTCACCGCTGTACTATTAGACCGACTGACCTCATATTTGACAGTTAGAGAATGAGCTCACTACACATGTGGTAATAAGATAATGGAAGGAAAACAACAGGGAGAGAGAGGCAGACAGAGAGGGAGAGAGAGCTTGTAAGGGTAATGGCTTCTACTTTCATGACACTCTTCTAGTCTTTACTGCCGCTCAAAGCCACCATCTTGGGACATTTAACCTGGAAACCCTTTTCAAAAAAAATGGTCAAGACAACTACACTACCATGAGCTACAAAAAACAAGTGAGCAAGAGAGGAATGACACACACACAGAGAGAGAGAGAGAGAGAGAGAGAATTAGTTATCAAGAGTGAGAGAAAGTAATGGAGACAGAGAAGGAGAGGGTGAGTAAAATTAAAGAGATGGTAACAGAGAGTGAGAGAGAGAGATCAAAAGAACAGGAGGAATAAAAGTAAAAGAGACGAGAGAGAAAGAGAGAGAGAGTAAAAAGGTAGAGAGAGAGTAAAAGTGAAGCAGAGTATAAGGAAAAAGAGAGCAAAAGAGAAAGCAAAATAGAAGCAAATGTGTGTGTGCGCGCGTGTGTGTGAGTGAGAGAGAGAAATGAGAGAGTCAGCTAGAGTAAGAGGGAGAGAATTAAAGAGGGAGAGCGAGAGAGAGAGAGAGAGAGAGAGCGTAGAGTTTGACTGTGACTCACTCAGTCTGCTCTGGGTGCTTCAGCGGCTTCTCTGCTTCTTCTTCTTCTCTCTCTCTCTGTGTGAGTATGAACCTTCATCATCAGATGTTTTCAGTGTTTCACCGAAGGCTCTCAGTGTTCGTGTGTGTCCGTGTGTGTGTGTGTTTGGAAACTTCAGTTTACTTTTCTTTTCACTCTGACAGTTTGTGACAGCGTGTAACCAACGGCAGCTGTCAGACAGCTGACGCTCTCTGATGTTCTCTGATGTTCTCTGATGTTCTCTGATGTTCTCTGATGTTCTGACCGTGGACTGTAAGACCCATCTTCATCTCTGCTCCTCACACTGATTATTGATCGGCCGTCGTTTTGTTTTCGCGGCAGCAGCACGGCTTCAGTTTTGGTACTGTAGTTGATTTGATCTATTTGTTCAGGGTGATGGAGGTCACTGTCGCCTGTGTTTTGAAGCCGTTCAGACTTTGACAGATTTGAAGTTAGTATCTGATCATCTATTAGGTTTTCAAGAACGTGTGATTCCGAGTTTCCTCTCTAACGACTTGACGCACACTTTATGTTTATGGAAAATGAAGTGGAAGGCTCTGAAAGTCCATCAGTGAACACAGGTTTCTGTATAGTAGTATATTGTCTGGTAAAAAAACGTAAAAAAAGTACTCACACCTTGGTGTGAAGTCAGCGTCTGATTGGACAGATTTCTGACCATGAAAGATTCCTTTAAAAAAAACAAACTTTTTTTTTTTTTAAATACTTCAAGTTTTCCCTCAAATGTTTTATGTCAAATACTTGAGAGACAGACGTTTTCAACAGGTGAACTGACGGCTCCTGTTCCTGTGACAGTAATAACGCTACTCTCCCCGTGTGTGTCCTCAGACTCGTCTCCTCGGCTCCTCTTCTCCTCCTTGTCCCGTCTCTCCTCGTCTCTTCATCCTCCAGCAGTGAAGTCAGTGGAATATTTTAATCTCTGATAATCACTTTAATCTAATTATGAAGATTTTCCCTGTGACGGCCCGTCGTCTGTGAACGTCCAAAATGGAGACTCCCTTCTACCACGACGACTCTCCCGGAGTCTCTGGCTACGGCCACGTCGCTGACTACGAGCGCTATCCAGGAAACAAGATGCTGATGAGTAAGAAGGCCCTGGCCTTGTCTGGGAGTCATCACTTCTCCAGCAATGGTTCAACGGGAGGTCGGGGCGGGAACCATGCACTTCCCGGAAACATGTCAGCAGCTGCGTCGTCATCGTCGGGGTCCTCTTCAACAGCCGACATGAACCTGCTGAAGCTGGCGTCCCCCGACTTGGAACACATGATAATCCAGTCCAACCAAGGACTGGTCACCACCAGCCCGATGTTAAACGGTGCCAACCCCTTCATCTACCGCAACCATGCCACCAACGAGCAGGAGGGCTTCGCTGATGGCTTTGTCAAAGCGCTCGCCGACCTTCACAAGCAGAACCAGCTGGTCGGACCCGGTTCCATGTCGCCGTCCTCGTCCTGCGCCATCTCCCTGCAGGCGTCCTACCAGAGGAACCTGATGTCGGCCGCTGACATGCCCGTGTACGCCAACCTCAGCAGCTACAACCCTTACCCCGGTGGACAGATGACATACGGCGCCGGCTCGGGAAATGACGGTGGCGCCGTTGGTCCGCCTCAGCCTCACACCCGTGGTCTGGATGCTCCTCAGACTGTCCCCGAGGTGCCTCACCCACCGGGCGACCCCATGTCTCCGCCTACCCTCTCCCCCATCGACCTGGAGACCCAGGAGCGGATCAAGGCGGAGCGCAAGAAGCTTCGGAACCGCATCGCCGCCTCCAAGTGTCGCAAACGGAAGCTGGAGAGAATTTCACGGCTGGAGGAGAAGGTGAAGGTGCTGAAGAGCCAGAACTCGGACCTGGCCTCCACCGCTGCCATGCTTCGCGAGCAGGTCGCTCAGCTGAAGCAGAAGGTCATGAGTCACGTCACCAACGGCTGCCAGATCTCCGTTGGCTCCACGGCGTCCAAGTGCGGCGCGGCGGGAAACGAGGACCCACGCTGCTGAGGAGGAGGAGGGAGTGGATTACACAGGAGTCAAAGGGAATTTACAGTGTGAGCTTTGCTTGCAGCTCATGGTCAGAGCCGGCAAGGGGCAAGCGGCTCGGTGCCCATGACGCCCCCCAGTGGACAGATGGACTCTATTGTCAATCAATCAGTGGAGAATGGAGGGGACAGGGAATGACACGAGTCTCAGACATGAGGGATGATCAGAGTTTGGATATTGGACTATTAAAGAGACGGCATCTGTGTGTGTGTGTGTGTGTGTGTGGGTGTGTGTGTGTGTGGGAGAGTAAATGATCTCAACTTCAACCTTTAAATGGTTTATTATTCAGTTTTATGTTTAAATAAATTCCAAAATAATGTGTGTGTGAAAATATTCATATCTTCTGAGTAGATGTGAAGTAATCAGATTACTTCAAGCAGAGTAAATACCAGAAAATGTTTTTTGTTTTTTTATCGTGGCATTCACAGCAATGTTTTTCCACATATTGTCACTCAAGGATACGATTCTCTTCAGTTTGATTTACTAATCTAATAATCTAACCACCGTTAGGTTTTTAAAAAATATATAATTCTCTGATTTTTTATTTTAACATAAAAGTGGCCAAACTCTTTTTTTTAAAAAAACAAAAGTGTCTTAATAATATTTTTCCCTGTATTTTATAATGTTTGGTTAGACTTTTTTAAAAAAAATGAACCTCTCCATCTCACACTGAAGTCCACAGAGAAATTAAAGAATTCTGCATCAGTGTTCACAGATGTTCTTCATTGGCTGCTTTTTTTATAGAAATAGGTTCAAATGCATAATTCTTTAATTTCGGTGTTTGAAAAAAACACAATTAAAGTCAAATTAGTCACAAAAACTAAGCCATGACCAAGCGTTTAACATGGAACCTCAGTGTCCAGGAGGCCCAAAAATGTTGATTTTCTCTATGGAGTTCAGTGCAGAGGAGACAGTTTTCTTTGTTGTTGTTGTCAAATACACTTTTTGTACAAATGTATAAAACCGTGTGTGAACTGTGTTATTATTAAACCTTTATTTATTTATTGTGATCATGATTGTTTTTCTGTCACACTGTGTTCGCACTGATTTGAAATGTTTTTTCCTATTATTATTATTATTATTATTATTATTATTGATCAACTGAATCAACAGCATTTCCTGTGATATGTGTGTTTCATTTCTATATCGACATCTACAAATTTGACTTTAATGAATTTATTAAACGTGATTGTCTGGCAGAAGAGATGACTGTTGCACTGTGAAGGGGACAATTAAAGTCCGAGACATCGAGGCTGTCTCCCGGTGTAACCAGAGAAGTGTGCATCACCCACACCAAAAACCATAGAGAAATGACTTGATTTCCCCCCAGTGTCCACTACTGCCTGCATTAGTGGAAAGGGGAGGTCATGACCCGGGTGTTTGCACTGGCGGTGCGGAGCAGAGGGGCAGTGGATTCAGAGTTCCTGTGAGCTACAAAATGTTGATTTTCTCGCTGGAGTTTGGTGCAAAAGAAGATCCTTGCAGTGAGATCAGGTGACAAATGACCTCATGTTGACTGTCTGAGTGACATGTGATCAGGCCACCTGATTGGTCATCATTTTACTCTGTTGCGACAGGATCTTGTTTTTTTATGTTCGCTGGAAAAAAAAAAAAAAAAACATTGTTGCTTTATTTTTTTTTTCTTTTCGGTCCATATTCTGCTCCAGATGGAGTGACCCACTTACTGAGAAAGAGGCTCTGTGCCATTTCTGGTGACTAATACCCCCTCCACCCACACCTCAACACACACACACACACATATACACACACACTGAACCCTCTTTCCCAGTGTTTCTGCTCTCGAATGATGGTGTTTGTTAAAAATAAAGACGTTTGTGGATAAATGAGCGTTGACAGTGAACGCAGCCCCTGTTGTTGTTGTTTTTTTTTTTTTTTTACACTCACTGTTGCTCATTTAAAATGGCTCACATTTACACGCCACTGGATTTCCGATGCTATTTCTGACGGCAATTCACTTTCAAAAGAGCTGCTCTGCTGCTATTGTGACATTTATGACCTCTAAGACTATTACTGTTTCCTCAGAAATCTTCAGGATTAAAACGCTAATGATAACACTAAACACAAGACTATTACTGTTTCCTCAGAAATCCTCAGGATTAGTCCAATTAAAACGCTAATGATAACACTAAACATATATAACCTAGCATCGGTCTGTACAGTTTACCCCCAGTAATTCAAAGCAGGTTTTTTAGAAGAATCTTTACCCTGGTAGCAACTTACATCATGTGTTTTTTTTTTTTATAAAAAAAACCCCAAAACATAAATCTGATTAATTTCAGCCTGCAGCTCTGGGGCTAACCTCAGCTCAGAGAACCATTTCTGGACCAGCTTCTTTGTTTTGTCTTAACACTAAAATATATTTCTTGCTAGAGCTAGATCTAAAATCTGCTAGAAAACTTCTATTTTTTAACGACTTGGTTTAGTATTGGATGTATACTGCAACTTCAAAATAGTTTTGTTGGTTGTTAGCAAAGCTGGTCAAATAAAACTATTAACTGCTGACAAACATATAATGATCAGATTAGTCAAACCTGAGTGACCCGTCTTAAAATGTTTTAGTGATTACAAAACACCTTTAGAAGCGGACTTGGGTCTGGAAGGTTGCAGGTTTGAATCCACCAGCTGCTAAGTTACCACTGAAGTGCTCTGATCATGGCACCGTCCCCACACACTGCTCCCTGGGTGCTCACAAAGCTGCCCACTGTTCACTTTGGTGATGGGTTAAAAGTGGAGGTCACATTTGGTTGTGGACAGTGATGTATGTCACAATGACAAGGAGTTACCTTTCCCTTTCCCTTTTAAACTTTTTGACTCTTTGACCCGTGTGTGTACTGAGCACAGTCCTGGACTGTAGCAGAAACCCTTTACAGAACTTCACTGCAGCGTTCACAGAGAGGTGGTGACGGATGCTGAAACAGCAACTCAGCTAAAGCTTTTGACAGGAAGAGGTGGAGTTCGGAGATATTTTTTGGATGAAGTAGGTCAGTTATAGTGCAACAGTGATATCTAGGAGAGGGACATGTGAAGCAGCCATCGATGTCTCCAGCCTTTATTTATAACGTTTTAGTTTGAGGTTCGAAAGAGGAGCCTGAACGCGGAAGGTTTGGTGCTGAGATACAGTTATGTCGTCAGCATATCATTGAAACCTAAGATATTGAAATCAATGATTTTTCCCAAAAACTTGATGGTCTAAACGAATCCTTCCCACATACGGCACAGGAATGTCTAGTGGTTCTAGAGCTCCCTCTAGTGGTACATGCAGTGGTGCATCATTTGCAGACTGAGTCGTCTCCATCCACGTAGGCTCACTCAACTAGATTAATGTTTGGCAACAATACCATTGTCGCCCAGTTTAACAGTTTTTTTTATCATCCACTCCAGTAGATGGCACCCTTGGCTACCAACACATATGTATCTCATATAAGAATATTGGCTAAAGTTAAAGGGTTGTTTTTGCGAGTATTTTTAAATTAGCATCTAATGAACCAAACTTTCCTCTAGGGGGCAACTCTAATTCTATTCAAGTCAGATAAACAAAATGGCCACAGGAGGCGCCATTCAGTATGTGCGGAAAAGCATATCTATGTAGATTTAAGGCAAAGGCATGTAGACGCACAAAGGAATCATTAACCCCATCGTCAGGCAGAACACACATCTACACACTGAGTCACTACATTTATACCGACTTTATAATACTGTGTGTGTGTGTGAAGAGAAGCTAAAGCTAACCAGCAGCTGTCGGACCTGAGCGTAGACCCGAGAACCTTCAGCTGCCCAAAGGTAGAAGTTAGTTCAGGCTTCATAAATGTGTCAACGCAACCTCGCGCATCACATCGTGACATCGTCCAATCAGAACGAGAGAGAGGAGAAAACTGTGAGAAAGAGTCAGATTCTCACTTTACTGACATTTAAATCAGGTACATCACACACACACACACACAGAGTACTTGGCAGTACGTGGTGACTCAGCGTGTCTGTGGGCGGAGCATCTGAGTCACCCTCAAACATCTCCAGAGCCAATAATACACTCCTCCATCATCCCTTCATCACGTTCAGGACAACACTCCTCAAACCCTCTCTCCTCTCGTGTTTTCTCTTTTGAGGAACAAACAAACACGTTCACCAAAGGAGACAACAACCACACATCTGCGTCCCTATCGTTTCTTCACTCCTTCATCGTCATCATCATCACCATCATCATCAAGCTCCGGTCATCTAGTTAAAAACAGGCGAGCGCACATGAAAGCCATCGGCGCAGGCTGTGATTGGTGAAAGTTATTGAAGGTTTGCAGATGTTCTCGACTCCTCTCTTTTTTTGTTTTCTGCCTCTGTTTGTGTTTCCAGTGCACGTCGCCATGGCAACCCCCAGTCGAAACACTAAACAAGGGCAGCTGAGAACCATAACTCTGTGTGTGTACGTGTGCGTGTGTGTTTTTGTGCGCGCGTGTGTGGTCATGCTTATGTAACGAGCAGTAACTTTCGGCCAACAACAAAAACAAACTCGGAGAGAAAAACAGTGAGGTCATGGGAGCAGAAGGTGACCAATCAGAAGCCAGAACTCAGGTGTCGTCCACCAGTGGACAGCTTGGAACGTTGTCCTGTGTGTCTGATGTTGGGAGCTCAACTCTAGACTTAGTGCAGTAGTACTGGGCTGTACATGTCACACTGTGGGCCACTTCCAGTCCCGTAGCCTGCAACATCTGGCCCATAACTAGAGATCAATGATCATTTTATTTTGTCCTTGAGTTATTTCTTTCTATTCATTTTTCAATTTTTTTTGTTTTATTGGTTAGTTCTAATAAGAAAAAAAAATGTAAAAATTAGTTTTATGTCCATTAAATCTGACTTGTCCCACTGGCGAACTGCCGGTTCAAATCTTGGCCTTGTATTGTGGATTGTGGTTTGTTGAGCAAGTACCAAAAACCTTCCTCGGCCGCTGAGCAAACCGGTGTTTCACAAATGAGTCATTTCCTCTCACAGGATTAAAAGGAGTTCTGATTTCTGATTGGACACGCTCGTGATGTCATACGTCATGATGACTTTGTGTTTTGCAATGGCTGCGTTTTGTAAATCTTTTATTTGTCATACCAAAACACACTCAGCTGATTCACCGTGTCACAGTAGGATCAGATGCCGTGCTTTACTTCGGTGACACCACACCAAAGTCCACAGAGAAAAAAACTGTTATTTTAACTCCCTCTCAACACAGATGTTGTGGTTCCTCTGTTATCTCAATGAGTAAGTTCACATATATTTCTACGTTTTTTTGGGATCGAACTTCTCTGTGTGACTCGAGAACCCGACTGACTAAGAGAGGCCGGCGTAGACCACCAGACCCTGCGTCACACTGAGCTAAAAATGCAGAATTTCTCCATGGACTTTGGTGTGGACAAGAGAGTCCAGTTTACAAAGTGGCACAAACTTCGTTTTCAGTAATAAAAACCCAGTTTTAACAGTGAAATGAAGCAGTGAGATTTATCCCGTAAACCGGGGATTTAGACGTTCCAATAATTTTGGGGAAAAAAAAAGGTCACTTACGACTCTTAAAAAGTAATAAAAGACTAAAGTTATTCGCTATTACGTGGTGAAGTGTTGTTTAAGGTCAATGTGACAGACATAAATAACAGGAGCAGCTCCTCGCGCGTCTGTCATTAGCATTAGTGTCGGTCTGTATGCAGCACATTAGCTCCAGGTTTTACTGCTCCAAATTAATCCTCTTCACTCTCATCTATAATTCATGCTGGGCTTTTTTTTTTCTTTTTTTTTTTACCTATTTATGCTGGATTTAGGAGCTGAACCAAATTTAACAGTTTGGCGATTTGAGGAACTTTAATCTGTCAACATGTCGCCAGAAAGAATTTAAAATAAATTAAAAAATGTAAAAAAAAAAGAAAAAATCTAATTGAACCTCCTTTATTATAAAGAAACCAGTGAAAGTTCCTGATAATTTCCGGAATTTTCACAAATGCAGATTATTCAGTGTGTTGTCTTTCACCGTCACTATGGTTCAGCCGAAGCTGCTTTATCTCGCAACATATTTACATTGTAAATGACGAAAAGCTGATTACAGGAGACACATTCAGCACGGAACCACGGTATATTTAAATCAGTTGTTTTTGTTTTTCTATTTAAGGCAAGTATTTCTCTCTCTGAATGTTCAGAAACATTTATGTGGTCAGAATAAAATCCAAATATTTAGATGATTAGGTCTTTAACCTGAGATAGATTCTAATATGGTGTAACCAATTTTAATGGCATAGAGGAGGGTAATGGTATTCTAGCATTTTAGCATTTATGAATGACTATTATATGTCATTTATCTTAGTTCACACGAACGCTCCATCTATTTGCTTCTGACCCGGCCCCCCGTCAAAACAAACAAACGAGTCAAGAAGTTTGCCCACGCCCGATCTAGACCATATTGACTCGACTCATAAAAATCTTACTTTAACGTCTTAAACTGGATTTTGTCCCAAAATTCAAAATACTGACATGAGTCAGATTTCTGACCCAAGTCGTTGTCCACAGTCGTATTTACACTCAGGCGAGGCTTTATATCATAGAAAGTGAAGAGACAAAGGATAAACAATAATTCATTTTTTTTTAAATTATTAATTCAATCATACCTCAAACATTAGTGATTGTCATCAACTGAAAACACTTTTTTTTCCCCGCCAAAGCCTCTGGGAGCAGATCAGCATCTTATCAACACATTGCGAAGAATCTCAGTGCGAGTGGCTCAGTGAGAGAGCTGTGAGTCACGGCGCTGAAGGAGCCCAGCCAGGGATGAAAGTGGTATTAGTGCCGGTTAATTCATCCTGACAGTTGGAAATGTTAAATCCTGCAGGGGGGCTCAGCTTAGCTCGCTCACTCCCTGCCTAAGTAGGTTAACTACAAACCAGTGTGATCAATCTGTACACACTAAATAAACACGTCCGGCTCAGCCAAACACCGACAGGAAAACTCATGAAAAAGAAGGGGAAGAGAGGACGCGGCGAGGGAACAGAGGAGAGGAGCAGGGGTTAGGGCAGCAGGGGGCGCGGATTATCTACCAGAACCACACAGTTCACGCAACCTGGAGCTTCTGACAGCAACAGTGGGATTTAACACCCTCAGACAACCAATACAAACTCCTCAATAAGTTTCTCAATGAAATCATGAAACGCAAATATCCAACTACTTATATGGCCTTCGTCCCGAATGATTCAGCACCTGCACTTCCATGCTCTCAAAAGGCTTTACTGGGGGATCCTGGCACAGCAGGTGTTTTAAAAAGTCAGCACGAGTAAAGGCGGCAGCAGGAGGGAAGGGGAGAGGAGTAGATGAGTAAAAAGAAAACTTCCCCCGATGTGCAGCAACAAGTTGAAACATGGAGTGTCTTATGACCAATGAATATATAAACAACGAACTAGAGGAGAATAGAGGAAATGAAATTTATATAGGGGAACAAATATCACATTTGAGGTTTTTTTTACATTTGACATTTGTCCATAACAGAGCAGCATTACTGTAAATAACCAGCGAGTCACATGACCAACATGGTCAGAACTTCAAAAGTCTGATACATATTTTGTGAAAATATTTGTTCTCGACTCCGAGAGAGGATTCCAACATCAAGGATCTACTGCCGTCAGAGAACTTCAGCCAGCAGAGATCTCCACCATCCAGTTGCCTGTGCTGAAATAGGACTCCCACCAACCAGGGCCCACTGACGAACCAGGTTCTCTGCTCAGCAACTGCCTTTGACACGGGAATTCAAATTATATTCCTGCCCTATGGCCACAAACCAAGTCTGGTGACCTGAAATTATATTTTTAAACAAAGGTTAATTTCTCTTAAAAATGATTGCCTACGGTGACAGAGTAGCTAATTAAAAAGTACCTTTAGGCTAAGTTTAGAAAACAAATGGTTGTTCATAAAGGGAGACGCAGGATTGGGTCGTCTTAGCTAGAAGCAGCAATGCTAATAAAAAAAAAACACCCAAAAGAGATCAATAAAGATGGCTGATCTCTGACTCTCAGTCAGGGAAGAAGAGATCAATAAAGATAGCTGATCTCTGACTCTCAGTCAGGGAAGTTATTGTGTTGGATGAAATGCACCTTTACCTTTCCTGATCTAAGCTGCTTGGTTCCTGTAAGAACGGGACCAAGCGGCGCGGACGGAGACAGAGGCTGCAACACACCCTGCAGCTGCTGCATAAAATTACAGAGGAAAAAAAAAAATCAGAAACAGAAATTTATGCCGCTGCATCTTTGTGTTTACACAGCGAGAGAGTAAGCTGAGCGTAAACTGATCACATCTGATCAGAGCCACGGCCAGGACGAGGCCAGGGGTGTGTGTGTGTGTGTGTGTCTGTGTGTCTGAATGCACATCCATGAAGCCATAACCTAATGTGATTCAGAGCCATCTAAAAATAATAACACCTCACGTGTCCGGTGGTCAGTGTACAAACTACAGTCACAGTAGAAAACCACAGTATGATTTAGACCACATCTACAGGTATGGTCTTTGATGTGATCGCTCAAATCGATATTTTACATTTTAAAGTACTATAAAAGACAAAAAAAAATATTTTTAATTATTAAAAATCCTGGTAAGTGTTTCCCCATGCCAAAGTCCATAGAGAAAAGAAACGTTTTAGCCTGCGGGGAATAGGGCTATAGTGTTTGGATTGTTGCCTCACTTGCCAAGTTTTTACCACACAGGTAAATAATGATAAAGCAATTAGAGATTGAAAACGCCAAAAATATATTTTAGTTTACGTAAAACACTGTCGCAAGTGAAGAAGAAAGAAGAAAGAAATCCTGAGTACTGTAACTTAAAAAAAAGTATTTTTTCTATGGGCTTTGGTGCAGTGGGACTGTCTTTTTAGAAAGTAAAAAAAAAAAGTGTCAACTGTCATCACATACAGTAGCTTTGTTTGTGTGTGTATGCGTATGAGAGTGTGTTTTACATACGTTCTGACATTAGGCAGGAATTATTCTGTCAGACGTGACTCACTCAATCACACACACAAACACACACACACACACACGCATTAAGGAGGTGGTCAAGCCGTGCTCTTATGGTTACAGTGTGTCACAGCGACGCCCTGTAGCCCCAGAGGAGTGATGTCACACAGTCTCCACCCAGGTGTGCGTCACGGTGACATCAGCAGACAGACACTCACACAAAATCACAGGTCTGTGTTTACTGAGCCGACGAATAAACACACAAACTCCGTCGTCTGAAACCAGGGAGCTAGACTTATAATCCGACCACAAACACGACCAGGAGAAATGTTCAAAGGCCAGAAGGCTCTCACCTTTGGAAAAGTTGCCACAGTTCCTAAAAGTAAAAATAAAAAACTAGAATCAATCAATGAAATACATTTGTTAATCATTATAACCTTAGGTAATTAAATATAGGCCGTTCTGGAGCTGGTAGATAGAACCAACGGTGGTAGATAGAAGCAGAGCTGACAGAGAGTACCAGAGTGCCTGATAGTACTAGAGCTTACAGATTGTTCCAGTGCTGGTGGATACTTTCAGATCTGGTAGTTAGTACCAGTTCTGGTAGAAAGTACCAGAGCAGGTAGCTTGTTCTAGAGCTGGTGGAAAGTTCTGGAGCTGGTAGATAGATCCAGAGCTTGTAGATTGTTCCAGAGCTGAGGAGTGCAGCAGCTGCAACGTCAATGTCAAAGGCAGAGCCTTCTACTAAATGTGCATGACCTTTGAACCCACAGGCAGTTTTGATTGCATTCCCAAAAAGTGACCAAAACCTTTTCAGATTTGTGGTTTATAGATCAAGATAACATAACTGTTCTATGCTCAGCCTCATCTCTCTCTCCAATAATTCCTCTACATCTCTGGTTATGTATTTATTTTTTATTTTTCTAGGATTTAGACCATCATCATCATCATCATCATCCTCCTCCTCCCTCCTCCCTCTACACCCTTCTCCCTCCTCCCCCGCTCCACTTCCTGCCCTGAGGTGTTTCCCCAGTGTTTTATGGGAAGCAGCAGATTATTGGCAGAGAGATCAGACTGTGTTATAGATCTGATGGGAGGAAGCTGCGGGGCAGATTTGAGACTAATGACAGCGTTTATTTATAAACATATACATCCTCATCAGTGTCTGTCTTAGCAGCAGCTGCAGCAGCAGCAGCAGCAGCAGCAGCAGCAGCATCAGTGCTTGTTACTGCTGCTGCTGCAGGTTGATGAAGACTGAAGCCACGGGTCTGTATGTGGGTCAGAGGATGAAGAAAAGTGGATGTGACTCTAACACTCCCTGAAGTAGCATAATAACTCAACCATATCGTAAACATATGGAAGAATGTACACACCCACATGTAACACACACACACATCAGCACTGCTATTATAAAATAATTGCTATTTTTCCAATGACCGTTTAACCCTGTCCCTGTGTGTGTTGTTTTGTTGAAATAAATGTTTTGTATCATCTGTAGTAAAATAAGAGTTGATCGTCTCCCAGGTATTTAATCAGAGCAGTCAGACTATCTCCTGAGGACAACACTGTTCAGACAACATGACCTTGATGCTGTGCCACGGGGAAAGACCTTCATAGAAAACATGTCGACCTGGATCAGGTTCAGGTCCTCCTCACAGGTTCGCTCACCTTTGGGAGACAGGGGGCGCCGTTTTTACAGCCTTGTTGCCTCATGTGATTTTATTTTTAAGTTCTGGCATTTCGATTTGTCTGACTGTTCGCAGCGTACACATAAAGTGTGTGCCTGTCTGGTTGTTTCTGAGCTGCACACCTGCAGATCCAGGGACTATCTCCAGGCTTCTAACTGTCCCAGAGTGCTTGTCAGTTTCAGGTTCAAACCAAACTGTAGAAATAATCGTATTTATTGATCAATACAAAGTGAAAATTTGGATTTGGACCGATCCAGTGTAGTGAAAATGTGGCTAAACTGCTCTAATTGCTAGCGCTCTAACTTTATTGGCTAAACTGCTCTAATTGCAGTGGCGCTTTGGCCCAGAGGCAATGTCTCTGTCATTGGTGTGGAACCCCAGGGTTCACCTCCTGGACAAGTTCGAATCCCGGTTAGGGAGGTTAATACCTTCCAGTGGACTCACCACCCGCAGGAAGGTTTGGGGGGTTGATACGGTGCAATGTGATTTGGGTGGCAACTGCTGCCCCCGCGACCCGGTAACGGATAAGCGGATGAAAATGGATGGATGGATGGATGGATGGATGCTCTAATTGCTAGCGCTCTAACTTTATGGACTAAGTTGCAAAGAACAGCTAAAGAGTTATATCTCACCTTATTTTAATGTCATTACCTTACCTCACTTCAAGTCCTAAACCTTGAGGTCCAATACCAAGTCAAGTCTCAAATATTTTGTCCTTATACCAGTACAAATCTGCGATCTCAAACGACTGAGATGAATCTCATCAGATGTCATCTGTTCATGAAAACCTTTATTTATAATTTGATTTTTTTCAGTTATCTGCCTGCATTTTGCTGCTGCAGGTGATTTCAAATCAATCAAGTTAAAGTCAGTCTAATAATCCATGGTTGTCTCACAGACAGAGCTGTAACACCACCTGCTGGATAAAGATACCACAACAGTGTGACAAAAAACATGAACTGCTTTTTATTTGCAATTTCTTTCCATCAAAACAGTCAGTGTGTTTCCTTGGGCTGGTGAGCGTTCTTGGGGAGTGCTGAGAGTACAATACCACACATCATAGAAATGGATCTGTTCCTTTATTGTTGGCCACAACGGTGGCTTCACACGTATACGACTCTCAAGGTCATTTTATTCATTTATAATATTTTACATTCATATTACTACAGATCATGTGATTCCCAAATTCAAATTCAAAGATTCACTGCTTTCACGCTTAAGTCGGTGTCATCAGTATAAAACTTAGCATTACTATAAACAACAACAACCCTGAACAAATTGAATCAAAACTCTTCCTTTGAAGTGACCCCACATAAATGGCCGTTTTAGAAACGAACTCACAGAACATTACATGTGACAAGTTTGTTTTCAGAAAAGGTGAGGACCTTCTGCTTGTCCTTTAAGGGTTAGGTGCTGCTGCCACCTAGAGTCCAGAGGGGGGTCTGCAGCAGGTTTCTTTTCTCTTCCTCGCTCCTCATCATGACTCCATCTCTGTAATGGAGTTGTACATTTCTTCAGGCAAAATGACGAACCGCTTACCTATTTGTGAGCGAGACATCTTTGGTGTGGTCGAGTCCCACTTGTTCCTTTGTGCTTTGCAGATGGCTTTAAGCCTCTTCACCTGGCTCTCCTGCCGTCGAATCTTCTGCTGCTTGGTCTTCAGCTTCTTTCTCAGATGCCAAACCCGCTCTGCCAGCTGATCGATACGCTTCCTTAGCTGTGCAGAATCTTCCACCGTGTAGTTGTGATCGCAGGACACCGCCAATGTTTCCCTGTGCGACTCAGAGAGGCTTCTGTCAGACTCACGCCGCTGCTCCTCCTCCTCCTCAAAAACTGCTTTCTCCACCACTTCCCCCTTGATGGAGTTAGATGTCAGAGGGAGAGGTAGAGGGAAGTGGATTTCTGAGGAGAAGGGATGTTCGGGGTAGTCCGGCTGTTGACACACAACAAAAGAGAAATGATTCATTATGATTTACCATTCATGTTTCCAGGAAGGGAAACTGTGTGATTGACTAATAACTGCATGTCTCAAACATGCCGCTAGATTTGATGGTTGAAATAATGTTTGGACTGAGCTTCACCTTGAGGCTGAGCCTGAAGGTGAAGATGGACGGCACAGCGTGATCCTTCAGCACACGGTTGTTGCAATCTTTGAAGCATATTTTTGTGAAGTGCTGTGAGCAGATGCTGCTGTACTTTGTCGGCTTGAAGTTGTCCCTTCCCATCGCCATCACCCATTTTTCACAAACATCTGGACGTGTCAAAGGGAACCTGAAGGGAGAAGTGAATAAATATTTGAACCAGGAAAGGTTAGCAGGTACACTTACTATAAAATTAGGGTTTGTTTGTCTGTACACACACTATATGAAAATCCCAAGTTTTTTTTTTTGCAGAATTTTTTTCAACAACACATCCTCCACTTGAGGTTTAATAAAATATCTGTCATTTAATATAACAAATGACACCATATAACATAACAGACTTTATCCGTCAATTTATTATTGGTTCATATTCAAAGGACTTTCACAAGACATCCCTGGAAGAGATTTAGTATGTCACGTTATAGCTCTCAAGTTTCCTCAACTTCAGATTACTTGAGTACTAATAAACAAAAAACATAAATAAAGTGAGATGCTGTTGGTTTTTTTAATTTCTCCTTTGAATGTGCTGGTTGATTGACCAAAAAATAAATAAATAAAAAGCGCATTCACAAAACCTGCCACCTACTGGTAAAACGACACTTGACGTGTGTCAATCACTGTAGGTATCTAACCCCAACCGGTCACCATCTGGGATCATGTTGGCCGTGTTTACTCAATTTGAACGGAGTTTTTCTTTTCTCCGTCTGGCACATGACATTTCTAGTGTCTGGCAACAGGATGGACTCACAGTAAACATTGTTCAGTTTTGACATTAGTAGCATTTAAAAAAGAAACTTTAACGAATGTACTACTATTTGAATATGTATGTATTGCCCTGTACTAGCAGGGCGATGAATTGCTTTTTTTAAAGAAACACTCTACAGTTAATGATAATGTGCAACTCTGCCTCCTATATAAACCTGAGAAGTGGGTGATTTTAAAACCACAGATCAATAAACGAGAACTGGTGAATTCTGCTCTGTTCAACAGTTTTGTCATTCACGCGGAGCTAAAGCTAAGTAGCTAACAGCCATAGTTAAGTAGAAAATACCCACTTGTGGAAGGAAATGTCCTTTTCTTTACTGTAGCGGTTTTTACATCCGTACGCCGAGCACGTCTGCACCATAGTGACTTCTGCCCAAACAACACTGTCTGCGACCCGGACTCACTGTGGGCTAAAGTCCGCTGGTGATGATTCTACTTCTTACCAAGAGGCTTCACTGCCACTAACAATGATGGCGTCGGACGCACTGTCACGTGCCCTTATTCCTGAAATCTGATTGGTAAGCGCCCGTACTTCATTTGTCTTCCAGCGAATACCGGCTGTGACCACCACGAGGACGTAAGTAAAACTATTGTTTATAAAGAATTGTGATGTTTTAGAAACCAAACTGTAGTTTTCCGAATAAAGCTATACTTTTATAAACACTAACACGTATCTATAAAATTATTTTTAGCTTTGCTTTAATTCGTTGCCAGACATGAGCACAAAAAATAAAACTTAAGCATTTCTAAACAACTGCCTCTTAAAAAGAGCCACTTTATTAGTAAAACAGGAGTTTAACAGACCAGGAAGATGGAGTCTTATACAGTGTTCTGTACAGTGCTGAGTTGAATGAAAAGATGAACGGCCACAGGAAGCTGTTCAACTGAAAACTGTATAGACTTTTATACAGTTGGTAAGAAGGACATTCATTAAACCATCGCGGTGAAAGTAACAGAAGAGGCCAGAAAAAGTAATATATATATAATACAAAGAAAATAATTACCATATTTATATTTAAAAAAAGAGAGCGGAATTTAATATATGGTGACATTATTTGTCCATTTTGTATGTGAGTACACAAATTTATCAGACTGGAGGAGGAAGCGAAACAGCTGCAGATTTTAAAAAAAAGTCCTTGTATTTACATATTTATATACATTATACAGGAAACACTGATTGTTTTACCGTCACCCCTTCATAATGATATTTCTTTAAATCAACATTCTTTCATGGAGTACAAAAAATAAACGTATTTGCCAACAAACACCTTCACAGTTCATCATCTGTTCATTGTCCCTTTTATTCAGAATAACACTTTACTGGAAAACACTCCATCCAGTTAAAACCCCCCGAACCACATTCTTTACCATTAAACCCTTAGAGAAATAACAAAGAATTGTCTTTATTTTGCCGTCAGAGTAATAAAAAAAGAAAAGAAAAAAAAGAGAGAGACCCATGCTTGATTTTCTTTTTCTACTGTGTAAGTGGTAGATGCAGTGAGGCACCAAAAACTACTTATTGTGATGTAAAAATAAAGATTTTCTCTGTGCCCTCTGGTGTGGGAGGGTAAGGCTTTAGAACATGTCTTTCATGTGGACAACACCCTCAAAATGCCTGAATAATAATTTATTTAAAAACAACTGAATTTTGCTCTTTCATTGTTTGTTTTTCTACTATTAAAATGTTTTATTTGGTCATATAGTCATATTTTCATATATTAAAATGGGAAAAAAGAAATAGATTTGGCCTAGCTGTGTGTACTGTAGTATTACACAGTATAAACAAAAACGAATCTGCTTTTTTTTTTATTGTACATCAAACACTGATGTGGTGTCCTCACTGAAATGATGGTGGCAGCAGTGGCTGTCAGCTCATTTGAGTTTTTCACACCCTGATGTTTAAATAAAATTACTAAAAAGGTGGTGAGATTTGTCTTTTAAGACTGGGTTTTACCCAACAGAGAATCTAAAAATCAAGGACAAAGGCCTCAAAATGTTTAACAAGTACAGAAACCTCATAATCACACAGAGGTTGTTATTCATACCTACAGTATATTACACATCACTGCAGAAAAAGTCCACTCCACCAAAATAAATGTTAGCACTTAAAACAGAGTCTGTACCATTAAATGTAAAAGGGCTTGACTTCAGTCTTATTAACCTGGTGATGAGACTAACAAAGTAAGAAATGGTTATAAAACACACTGCTTTGCAGGAACCAGCTGTGATTAAATT